AAAGGATATTCGACCAAGTCGACAAAAAACATGTTTTGATTATATTATTCCTCTTCTGTTTTTTTTTTTTTAATAATGCAGCTAAAGATTTTCAATGACCTTGTAATACTAATAATTCAAGCAGAAATCCATAAATTTAATGCTCACAATTTATAAAGCGTAAAAGCGGTCATTTTCCAAATAACCAATGTGTTTCACACGAAAAAAAAACACGGACTTATCAAACTGATCTCATATCAACATCAGCAGCTGTACCTCGCTCCCCTCATATAACAGCGGCTACTTAATACCTCTTCATGCCACTAATTTATTAATTTCTTAATTATTTAGATGCCAACATTTGGTTGTTGTTGTCGCCTTGTGTAAGAAGTTTATAGCCAAAACCTAGTAATACATACAGACACCTCTCATAAATGCATTTTCACCTTAAACGGCACTCCGTACAGATTTGTTTTTGACTAAAACTAATCACTTGCCATCTACACGAAATGCTCGGAGCTTGCAGCCGATGCTGAAGCTGAAGCAAACTTCGAAGAAAGATGCGTCCATAAATTTGCATAAATCGAGTTAACGCAATGCTTGACACGAACCTGTCTAAAATACAATGAATAATAGACAATTGCCGTGAGAAAAGCCGAAAACCCGTTTCAAAGCATTAATGTCACCGGACAAAGATATACAACTCGCTTATGCGGTTGCTAATTGTTGGTAGCACAAATATTGGAAGTTGCAAAAATTTGCTTTGGTGTTTTTTACTTAAACTTAATAAATTTATGTCGGTGAGAAAATGTGCATGGTGTCATTAATCACAATTTTTACTTAATTAATAATGATACAATAATAATAAATATTTGAAACGATAACAGGTGTATTTGTACGAAACGACAAAGGTAAGGCAGGCTAGATTAGGTTAAGTTAGAATAATGTTGCTGAGCCTTGAAAAGAAGATCACATTTAAGTGTTATTCTTTATGATAATAAGCCAACGTTAATTAGTATAAGCTGTTTTTGAAAAATAATCGGTATTAGAAAAGGAAAAGCTTTAGTTTGTAAGCAATTCTTATGTTCAACTTTCTATCCGCAAAAGATTGTTTTGAATGAAAAATATATAACTTTTGTAGGATTAATAGAATCATCGCTACTTATGAAATTTATGTAAATTCTGAAAAAAGTACATATAAGAAAATGTTCGATTTGTTCATCACATTCCTAATTGCTGTATGATATGCATGTTTTGAAGAATACGAGTTTGAAACAATGAATAGTTATGGATTACATAAAAAGTCATGTTAAACGACACTCGGAGGTTTTTTTTTGATACCCGAGCGAAATTTGTTGCTATAAAATATATGTATTGTATGTCAATGAATGTTGGTGTTTCTAATACTCAATTGAAAGGTCGGGAGTCTAGTTTGATGCCAAAAAAATTCTTTTTTAGACTACTTGACAAGAGAAATATGTTTCAAATTGATGCAGTAGACATTATGGATCAGTTAAATATTTAGTTTAATATAACATACATGGAGAGATTAATCATAATCAGGTTTAACCTTTCAGACGATCATGTTTCGTAACTCTTAGACAGATTGCATTGATGCTCAGCTAGTGTTAGACTGTCAATTGTTACAGAGCCTTTCTAGTCTCGTATCTATTAGTGGAGCTCAAGTGAACTGCTAAAGCTGACGAAAATATTACTCACAATTTAGTGACTGGCTAGGGACCAAATCAGAGTTGGTCTCATCATGTGTATATATGTATATGTACGTACAAGTACATAAGTATAGGGCGTACTGGGGACGGTACTGTGAAATTGTTACTCATTAAGCTATAAGTTCCTATAAGGACTATATCCGATTCAAATAGCTTCATTGTTGTACTCTGCATGTTTTTGATATTTTCTTAATAATAAACATATTCTTTAATATTGCGACAGTATTTTCAACGTATCTTAAATTAATCGGAGAACTACCGAATATTAAATTTTTATTCTTCACAGAAACGAAACCATAATCATTTTCGAATTATCGGAGAATATAGTCGATAGAATGAAAATTTGGACGATTTTTATGCAAAATTAGAGACAAAAATTTAAATATATCCGAAATTCGAAAGTACAATGTAATTCTTAAAATCCAAAAATACAGCATATTTAACTCATTCTTCTATCTAGCTCTGTAAGTAATGTTAAATTTCTTGCTACTTATAAAAATAAATGTATTTTGTTGATGACTCAACTAGGGTTACTATGGTAGGTAGATGGGTAGAGTGATGTCTGACGACGCACCTAGGCTTTTAGGAGGCACATTGTGAAACCACCGGGTCTAAAACTCTCTTAACTCTTTTACGTGCGCTCTGAGCCAATAAACTATCGATCGATAGTTGTAATACTTTTCCTGAACAAAGCCTTACTTTCGCATAGGAGATGTGCTATAATATCTTCTTCTTCTACCTTTTGGCAGCTTCTACAATAGTATACTGTTGCCTTAAATAGGATTATTTAATTCCAGAAAATTTTTTGTTGGTTGTTTCTTCTTTTCAGATTGTTATGTTTGTTTTATTTTCTCTTATCCGCTCTTAATGAATAAGGGAAAAGGACCAACAAGTCTAAGATTCATTAACCCAATCTTTCATCGGCCGAAAGTAATGTTAACTGATTATTAACCGAATTACTTCACTAGAGCCACGCAAACCGATTTGTTAATTGCATTACACCATTATATAATGCCCACACAATGTTAACATCTACATATGTATGTGTGGTTAGATTAATGAAGGAGCCACGTCGCTCATTTATCGCCATTGAATATAAGCGCCTTGGCAGTGGGAGCCACAAAGCATTGAACACTATAAATCAAGACAGCACACTTTTATATGTCTTTACATTGACTTAAATAAGATTTAGTATTATTAAAAATCGAAAGAGTTTACAAAACAACCATTGATTCAAAAACAACCGCCCGACCAAAGTTTGAGAGAGCTAAACAATAGGATTTTTTGACTAAGTAGATAATGTTGAGTGAATTGTTGTTGTTGTATTTTACTTAAAATATATTTTTGCATACCTTTGCAACTTCTGTCGAAAGCTATTGTAAAATCCAGTTCAATTCAATGGGTTATTAAAGCGACCTTAAAGAATAGAGTGGATTTGTCAAAATCGTGCTCACACATACATTATGATTAGATTATAATACCATAACTGTGCATTGTTTTTTTTTGCGCACGATCTTTTTGATTACGATATTGCCCTTTCCTTTATTTTGAACTATTTAATAATTAAACTACGCTACATATATACATATACGATCAGTTTGTCCTGACGTAAATTATGGTCAAATATGGGAAATTTCACAAAAATGTTACGACTCCAAAGTTTTTTCTGAAAATAAATTCGAAATGTCTAAAACTGTTGTTATTGATCACCCTTAACTCCTTAATTAATTTATTTAAATATTATTATATAAATATGTCTTCTAATCACCTTTTTTGGGTAACAGGAGCAAAAGTAGTTTTCGATACAATTTTGGAAACATTCAACCGAGTTTTGGGTTGTGTTTTTGTTGAAAAGTCTTTAATCACTTAATTTTGCTCAAATTGCCTTAATTTTTCACCCACAAATTAGACCCTTTAAACTAAGTTCCTTCTTATGGAAAGTATGAATTTCAAGGCCGCTAAACCTTGGGTCGTTCGGTAATGGTGTGGATACAGTATGTCGATCATTGGTAGCTTCCTGTCTCTATTATTCGTTATATACACCAGGAATATGCTTTCCCTCTAAAGAGAAGAAACATTAGTTGGTGTGCTTGATGTCCTCATGCCAGACATCATCGCCACCCTAAAGATGAATTGACAAAACTTCATTTGAAATTCACTAGGCCGGTGAAGAAAGTACAAATGTATTTTTCATTCTCTGAAGCCGATACAAAATTCTAGGGCCTCATATTAAAATAAAGCTACAGTCAAGGTGTTTCAATCGAAAAAAATGTAGATGATACCCGAAAAATAAGTCCAAATAACCATTTGCGCTAAAAAATTTACCAGGCGTTAAAATTTAAGCTTGCAGCTTATTCCATAATAAAAGGGTTCCGGTCCGGTCCGGTTATAGAATGTGCTTGAAGAAAGAGATTCAATCAAATAAATCGGCATGGATTCAGGACTAACAAACTCTAGAGCCCCGAAAAATGTGTCAGAAGGACAAGCCTGAGTAAATTAATAGTCGGGGATTACGTGACTAATTTTAATTTCTATAATTTTAATGTTTCCTCAAGTTTTTTTTACCTGAATCAACGTCGGTATCGATGACTTGCCAATAAAAATGATTTAAGAAGTTTATCATATTTGCATCATATGAAAGGGCTCTTGAGATCTTCGAAAGGAAGATTTTTATACTTGTAGGTGACAGTAAAGGTAAGTATGGAGTCTGGAGAGTAGGTCCTGCAAAATAATCGCAACAACACACCATTTAAATATAGACTCCTTAGTGATCGCTTTTTTCAGATATATACATGTAGTACTGACAGTACTGTTATAACACTCAAGCGAATTTATTGCACTGTTCCCTTTCTCCAAGTGCCCTCTTTCTTTTTCGATAGTAACATATGCATCTGTAAATCAGAAGGTTGACATTTATAAAATGAGCATGCGAAAATATTGAAATTGATTTCGATTATACTTATTGTTGCTAATTTTAGCAATGCGAAAGGTACGCATTATCCACAAAATAGTTGCAGCAAATCGATGCTTTATAATTGGACCACTATTGTCTGGTCCATATACTTCTCTATAGAGGTATGTATGTATATCTGTATGTGTATGACTAAAACGCTTACTTAAGCTGTGATTTTCTCGACGACAGTCTAATTTGTAATACCTTTTATCGCAACCTATTGTCATTGTAATCATTAAACCGTGTAAATGTATGAGTGTATTATCTGTGTTGTTATGATTATAGGTTGCGCTATTATTGATTGCCTAAAGAGTGTTGCATATGATTATGAGGTGTAGGGTGCGTAGCGTTCGCCACCAAACAGTCAGCGAAACACAGTCTGTCACAGTCACTGTCACTTTAGTTTGACGCTCATTTTGTTATACGCTCAGCGCATTTGCATCGTCTTTGGTGAATGCTAAGGTTTATGTTGGTATAAAAAGCAAGAACAGTCTGCAGTTAGTTAACAGTCCAATTCGAGTGGGCAACTCCTAAAGTCAACCGTTCAACCAACTTAACTTTAGCATCCAACTAAGCGACAATATGAAGATCTTTGTGGTACGTGGTTGCGGAAAATTATAAGTGATTGAGTGTTATTCAGATTATTTGTTTTTAGTTTTTATTATATTCGATTAATTGTGTTTACGCTGAGTGAAGAAAATTAATGAAATAAATTTATAAAACGTCTGTGAAAGCTAAAAAGTTTTAGTTGAAAGCTTGAAAAACATTGAATAACTGCACTTTTTAAAAGAAAGATTAATATTTTACCGTTGTTAGCATTTAAAAATGCATAAATAAGAAGAAAGTTGGATATTTTCAGCGAATTTGATTTAATTCACCAGATTTCCTATAAATAATGATCATATTATCGATCAGATAACAAGTGAGACATGATTGATAATGTTTAATACAAATTTCAGTAACATTTTGAAGATGAGATGTGATTATTTTTTTTTATTTAGACAATAGTTGAATGTAATTTCTTTTATATGGGACTGCCACATTGTGATTTGTGGGTTCGAATGCCAATCAAGGAAAAAAATATATCTTAGAAAAGGTTTCATTAACCCTCAGTATGCAAATTAAAGCCAACGCGTAGATATCACCGCTAGTTGACTTACATATGTACATCAAAACGATTTTATAACATGTCAAAAAACTAATTTTAGAAAAGCTTCATCGAGCACCCTGCAAAGATGTCAACATCAAATTATCATTATAATTGAATGTAATTGAACAATAGCGTCTACTGGGTCAATGTTTGTATTGAGAGATGTCTGTTCAACTCTCTTTCATTTATAAGCTAAAACCTGTTCAATAATTTTTTATCATACACAAATTTCATTTAAATGTTTTGTTTTAAATTCACCATAACCCAATACTTAATTTAAACATAGGCCTAAAATAAAATTGCTAAAACTAAAAACTTAAAATTAAATTAATTTAAAATATTCATTAACATTCTCTGTTTGCGCCTTCTCTATTCATTAATATTCTCTGCTTATGTCATTTCTGTTGAATTTCACTCCTTTTTTGAGCTATATAACATGTTTGCCTATTAAACATCTAAAAGTAATCAAATATGCATATGTATATTCCCTCACTATCGGAGTCTAATTGTAAGGTGATGCCTACTTTGGCCAGTTACCTGGGACATCACTGTGTCCTGTTACCCATTGCATGTTTATTCTGAAATAGGATGTTAGTTTCACTAATCAACCATACGACATTTCATTATCTTCGCTGAAATTGTGAGAGACTTTATTGACTTCAAAGCCGCTTGGCTATCTGTGAATATAAATATATTTTATTTATTGTTGTAAGATCTCCGCTTGGAAAACACTGCAGTGATCTGATGGTCGGAAAACGATTTTGGAATCTAATTTTGCTAAAACAATACCACCCGTTTATCCCTAACCTAGCGGTTACAACCGAATCTATATTTGCCTTATTTTTTCATTAAATATTTGCTTCTTAAATCTTTTACTTGCAGACTCTTTCGCTGACACTGGCCGCATTGGCATCCGCTGATATTTCTCTCCGCAATGGCTATAATTACCAAGTTCAACAACAGCCACTGTTTACCGATGCCCAACAACCATTGATCTCGCAGGTACTCAACTCGCTACCCCAACAGCAGCAGCAGCAGCAACAACTGCCGCAACACCTGCCAGGTAGCATTAACAACCCAATGCAAATAACTCAACCCAGTCAACAATATCTGCCTGGACTGCAACAACCGGGACGACCATTACCATCGCAACAACAATTACAGTCACTACCACCACAACAACAGCTTCAAACACTGCCGCACATACAGTCACTACCGCCACAACAGCCAATCGGACGTTTGCCACAAAACCCTTCATCATTGCCACCAAATGCACTGCCGATGCCGTCCAACTTCCCCACACCAGCAGGTTTCCAAGTACCCATAGCACCTGTGAGCGCTATCAAACAGTCGCGACGCCTACGACCACGCGTCAAGACACCAAAGAAGGCTATAGTGACTAAGAATTTCTTCATACACTCAGCCCCCGAGGAAAATGAAGAGGAGATTCAAGATGAACTCAATCAATTGGCTGCTCAGCCACGCAAGCACTACAATGTGCTGTTCGTGAAGACACCCGCCCAAACTAGTAAGGCTGCTGCTGTGAATCTAGCCAAGGCGCTAAAGGAAGAGAAGACTGTTGTGTATGTGTTGTCGAAGAAGACTTCCGCCGTTGACTTGCAGGATGCCATACAAGAGGCGCCACAACACATTAACAAACCCGAAGTGTTCTTCATTAAGTATCGCACACCCGAGGAGGCGACCAATGCACAGCGTCAAATCCAATCGCAGTACGACAGTTTGGGCGGTACCTCCACCATTACCGATGAAGGTTTGGCGCCAGTCACTTCGGTTGTGGGTTCACTCGATGCACCCGAGGATGAAGATGTCGGAGATGAGCAACAGTTGGTTCAACAACAGCCGGCTGGTCAAGATGGTTCATACGAAGATCAATTCCCCAATACCATTAATCCATCAGCCAGCGGCCAGTACTTGCCACCCCTGAATCAGTACTAAAGATCTTCATTTTGCTAATGAATGCTTCATATTAGTTGTTATGAATTTATGTGAGAGAGTTCAAAAAATTATTCTATAACTTTCGTTTGTTAATCTAGTTTTAAGTTTGTAGAAAATTAAGTTCCCATTTGCAAATAAAAGATAACCTTCCCATAGGTTTTGGATGGAAATTTTCTCTGTAATATTCTTAGTAGCTTTTCATCAATGTTCGACGGTGTTTATGTTTTGACATCATTTAAGGGTATACTAGAATAATGTACAACTGCACCTTTGCTCCACAAATGGTGGATCCTACTTATTATAGGTCCCTTCCGAATTTCTAAACGATGTCATAAGATGCAGTTTCTTTTGAAACTTAGTCTAGAATATTTGTCTTCTGCTGCGTAGCGTTGCCGCAGGGCATTGCTGGCCTTATCCGAGACATTTTTTGGCATTTAAAAATATGTAGAATATTATAAAGATATTTTACGACTTACCTTTTAGCTGAATTTCCTCAATCCAACATAACATAGAGAATATACTTTGACACACAAGTACTTCTGCAACATCTACTATTTGCTAAACCGAAGCTTTAATTCACTGCTTTTCGCCAATTGCTTTTTTCTCTTTATTATAAAACACCAATTTAACTATTATTCTGTATATTTTGCACTTAAATCACTCAAAAACTAATTATTTGTTATAAAATACTTCAATTTTTAGTTTTTAATGCGAAATTCACAATTTCCACCAATTTTATACAGACGAATCGGAAACGTATATGTGACGTTTGAAATGGCGGCGGAAACTGGGCAAAACAACTAACGAAACAGCGCAGCCAACGCGTCCATAAAAGTTATTATAAGCGTGTACTAAAATTGTAATAGATTATTCCAGCATGAAATTCAGATTTAGATACAACTTTTTTTGAAGTTATTTTAAAATATTAAGACAAAAAGACTTAAAATTGTGCTGTAATCAGATCATCCAATCCAATTATATTTTTCCGTAATAATGTCTGATTTATTCTCATACTTATTCCACTCTGCGCCTAGGCTGGTAAACTAAAAACATTTTGCAAAAATTGTTTATTTTCCGATTATGTTGTATGAGTAAATTTTCAACATATTTATAGTACTTGCAAATATTGCTATGAACAAAGAAAACATTTGCTGGGAATAACTTTTGTAATAGATTGCTTAATTTTTTTTTTTTTTGGCTATGGGCTAAAGTAATATACATTTAATATATTTCTCATATATATATAAGTTTATATAAATAAAAGAATACTTAAAATTTTTATCCTAAATCTACGCATTTAGCTAACATTAATTTATCAACGAAAATTCCGTTATGGACTCAGTTTTCGAACCGACCTGGCATCATTATAATACGTAATAATTGTACCTTGTCCGAAATATTGCGCCATGTATCGTAATGAAAGCAAATTTAAACTGTTATTACAAGGTACATTCATTATTTATAACAAAATCATTATTAAAATAAAATTCATAAAAAACTGTATGGAAAGAATTTATGTCATTGCTGTTATCATCTCTTATATAACATGATTTTGAAATCGTGATTTGAAGTTAAGGTACTGAAAAAAAGTTTTTTGCGAGGATCGAGCTAAATTTGCTCTTAATAAGATATATGTAAATGTATTAACTTGCGGTTAAAGTAAATTTGTCAATTTAGGTATTTGTGTAATCTCTTAAATTTTTATATCGTATTATATTTACTTTAAATTACGAAAAGCTCTAAATTTTTATTCCTTTAAAATGATTATATTATACTATAAAAATAGTTTTGTATTAAAAACATATTATATATTTTGAAATTCAATTGAATGTTTGTGCACCAATTTTATATAAACTGCTTTACATAAAGAAAGTGAATACCACATTTAACTATCTGTCAATGCAAATGCAACCCTTTGCATCATTCAGTTTCCTTGGTCATTTCAATTTTCGTGTAGAAAGTTCCGTCGCGCTCGTGTGAAATTAAAGAAAATTGTGATTTTTACAAAAACAATCTCTAGTAATACAATATTTGGTGCCGGATATTAATTATTTTTTAAATTAAAATGAATATTCTTAATTTGTGTTTAAATAGATAAATTGCTAAAGAATCTGTTTAGTGCTTGTGAGTGTGCTGTGCAGGCAGAGTGAAATGTTTATATCCGTGTTTTTGTGTGTAAAAGTTTTAAATCTTATTTGAATTATGAAATGAATGTTACCTTATGATATGGCTTATCCTCAAAGCTCTATGAACAAAGTGAGTCTTGTTTAGTATTCTTTAAGATTTATGTTATCAAAAATCTCCAGCGAAAGTCTCAGCAGCAAAGCAAGCCGCCCGAAACGCTTGGCTGTCGTTGGCTTCAAAATGTTTTTTACTTGTTCATATCAAATGGAAGACAATATTTTGAAGCCAATGTAGTAATTATTTACATTAATTCAGTAGTTTTAATACTATACTTGATCGTATGAAGCGGGCGTGATGATATTACTTTTAAAATGAGTTTTTTTCAAATTAATGTAAATTATAGTAAGAGAAAATAAAATAACAGCACCACCAAGAATCATGAGCTGTATAATAAAAGGTCTAATAAGTTTTAAGTAAAACACCTGCATCTGGAAAAAATATCTAATAATTGTCTTTGTAGCTATATATATATCACCTAAAAATTTGTATTTAATATTTATATCCCGAACAGAGTATATTAATTGTGATCCGCTCAGTCCATTTAGCCATGTCCGTCTGCATGTATACATGAAAACTAGTTCTTCACGTTAGCATATAGTTGCCATACAAACTCAACGATCGGAATCGAGTGCTTGCATGGAAAACTTTTTCATTTAGCGATATACGAGTTGTGTCTATTAAATAACGAGACTGCGCGCGCAGACGGCCTCCAGGAGAGCGTAGGCGGAAACCTTATGCACCGTTGTACAGCTGGAAGGGTCTACTATTCCAATACGAGAACACATGTCTGGCGGTGAAGTAGTTTTTTTGTAGCGGTTTTTGTTCCTACGCCGAAAATCTACCGAATCAGCCGGTATGAATGGGTTCCAGAGGGGCAGACGGTGAACTAACAATACTAATTCACAGTTCTGGCAACACCTGCGCACAACACACTTTCTGTTAAGCGTTATTTGGCCGCTAGGCGACTTCGAACAGTGCTTTGAGCAGTGGAAAAAAGGATGGAGTGGTGTGTGGCGAGGGTGGGGAGTATATTGAGTCTCGTTATTTAATAGCCTCGTATCTCTAAAAAATTTAGCATGGAACTGATCTTTTGTATTTTTGAAAGGTATTGTAGCTCCGGTGCAACCGAACGTAACGTTTTTTCTTGTTCTAATACTTTTTGATGATAATTCGATGTTAGTCTATGTGTATTCATATTGAGTTAAAATTGAAAGAAATCGATTATTTTCCTGTGTTTTTTCCATTCATTTCATTTATTTTACTACCAAAGAAAGTATAATTTCAATGGATAATGTTCTTTGGTCCTAATTACATTATTATTATATTTTGAAACTTTTAGTAAATTATTTTGTGATCGTTAACGTAGTTAAAGTGTCAGTTAATTTAAAATTTGGAGCATACGCAGCCGACTTAAGTTCTTCAAAGCTTCCTATTTAAGCCTAAAGCATAGTTGCAAATTTTAAATATCTAGTTTTCATATCTTTCAAGAAATTTCATAATGGCATGTGGTTCCATTTTTCCATCAAGACCTAGCAAAAAAAAGAGGGCAGTTTAAAGAAAAAAAATTATTAATTAACAAACAAAAACGGAAAGGTCTTTCATCTTTTCCTACATGACTACGAAAAAAAAGCAGGTGCTCATTTTAAAATTAAACTACTTTTCAACAATAAATTCAGAGCTAAGTCCATAACCTCTTTCAAACTAAGTGAATACCGCATTAAACATACTTGTATTGTTGTAAACTTATCAGACAGTATTTGCCTCACAGCAGGGCCCTTATACCTCGCCGGCACAGAAGTCAATGGCGAGGTAGTGATAAGCACACAACAAGAGCCTTTAACTTACTTTTATTACTTAACCTCAATACCCAAAGTTCTACTTTTGAGCTATAAAAGTATAGACTATTTTCCAAATCAAGCATTCCAGTTACCGCAACACAAACAAAATGTACCAGTGCAAGACAGTCGGTTTACTGGCACTCCAATTGGTTCTACTCGCTGTCGTCAGTGGCCGCGTTCTAACAAAGGACGAAAATGAAATTATGTATCCGCCACAGTCAAATTCACGCATTGTTGGTGGCGTAGCAGCACCCGAAGGGCTAGCACCTTACCAAATCTCCATGCAGAATCTACGCGGACGTCACTTCTGTGGCGGTGCGATCATCGATCAGCGCTGGATCATCACCGCCTCACATTGTGTATCGGGTGCAACAGCTGCTAAAATACAGATCCTTACTGGCGCTCAAAATCTGAAAAACAACACTGGCAAATACTATTATCCCGACCGCATTGTGATGCACGCAAACTACAACCATCCGCCGTATGCCAACGATATTGCGCTCCTGCACTTGAATGATTCGATCGTCTACGATGAGCACACGCAGGCGGTGAAGTATGCTTACGAGCCACTGAAGAAGGATAATGAATTGGTGCTTACCGGTTGGGGCTCCATGGCATTGGGTGGCTCTACACCGGATGTCTTGCAGACACTAACTGTTCGCGTTGTTCCGTATGAAGATTGCCGAGCTGCACACACTAATAATTTATCGAGCTACGTCGATGTGGGTCACTTGTGCACCTTCAATGACAACGGTAAGGGTGCTTGTCATGGTGATTCAGGTGGTCCTCTGGTGCACAATGGCACACTGGTTGCTTTGGTGAATTGGGGATTGCCCTGCGCGAAGGGTTATCCAGATGTGCATGCGAGTGTGGCTTACTATCACGATTTTATACGCACTCATTTGACCGCTACCACTGAGGAATAGGCTTTAGAAAATTAAGCATAAAAGGTGAAGAAGAATTAAAGCCTCATAGTTGAAATGAAAAATTCAGAAAAGAATATATATATATTTACAAATCGAAATAAAACTTTCGTCTCAGAAACCAACTTTTTGTTTCTTTGTAAACGGTATGGAGTAATTTAGACAAATTTTCTAATGTTATATATGTACGCATGATTATTGTCGCATTTTCAAAGATATAGCAGAGAATGTTAATAAATTTATTATTCAAAATATTAAAATATATTATTCATTAACATTCTCTAACAAAGGATTGCTTTGAAAAAGTGAGCTCCGAAAAGTATGCAAAATAAATTTGATTTAAAATTGCTTTAACCAAATACCTTGCAGGAAATAGTGTACCATAAGAATTATTTAAATTTTATTTTATGAGCGATGTTACGATTTTTTATGCAAGAAATATTCATAGGAATCAGGTTTTTATCCGAGAAAAATTTAAACTCTTCAAAAAAACATTCAATCTTTTTGGCCTTTTTGCGTGAAATATATCAAAACAAGCAAAAATCTTAATTTCGGTTGCACAATACCATTTATTTAAAAAACAAAATAATTCCTTTTTTAAACGAAAATGACTTACAAATCTGCAACAAACATCAACAACGACTGAAAATAGTTGAAGTTCGTAATACCAAAAAAGAATTGGGTTAATCTGAAGTTGGACTGCTTCAACTTCAATTCAACTGAGTGGCGTTGAAAACAGTAATGGGCATATATGCTTTGATGCAAACAACGTTAATCTGCTTATAACAAGCCTTCTTTCAAAGAATGTTATTATATTATTGGTATACTTTTTTGACATATATTTGGAAACTTAATTGGCCAATAAAGCAAACCCTTCTTAGATGTTCTCAAAAGTATCTTAAGCTGTAATTTATTGACTTTCATGCTTCCATGATACCGAGGGAAAGAAAATTTGTTTTTCCTACATCATTCTAACTTCTTCATTCGTTGGAGTAGAGATTTGTTTTTTTTAATACCGAGTTGTTACCCTGCTCGTCCAATATTTCAGTTGTATTTCATGTTCATGGTTTGTGTTCTTATTTGTTATCTCCAGAAATAAATATGACGTCACTTTTATCAAACATAGTTCATAATTTCAGAATCTACGCTAGTTTATATAAAACGCTAGCCAACCAATTTTAGTTTATCTTATCAAATCTTACCAATATTTTTCTATAATTTTGTTTTTGGCGCAGTAAAAATTAACAGTTCAACTATTTCAAAGCTCCGCCGATTTGCTTCTAGTTTCAGCACTTCATTTTAATCAGCTCCACATATAAATGAATACTAGAATTACTACAAAATATCGAGATTGGCAACTCTGCGTTGTAAGGGATTGCTCTATCATTCTCAGCACACTCGTTTCTACGGGAAAAATCCAATTTTCGCGAATATCCTACCGTACTGAGTTGAAGTGGAACGTTGTAGTTGAAGTGGTCGGTTGAAGCTTTGGTGAGTGCTCATTTACATTGCGCTCTCATAAGATAGGTGACTGTTTGTGCCTTTAAGTCTGAACAACGTTTACACATCGTTCAACTTGATTACGAAAATTCACGTTCTGTAAAGTATGTGTTTCGCGTGCTTTGCTCAACGTATGGTCAACATAATCGGGCTACTGGGCGTACTATTCGCAACACCATCACCCATCCTGAGACCCAGCTTTCTCTATTGGATAATATTCGACCGAATAGACTACGTCCAGCACGCAGTGAAGACAATATTGCGGCCGTAGCTGAGAGTGTACAAGAAGACCGTGGAGAGTCGATTCGGCGCCGTTCGCAGAAACTTTACGAATATATCTTAAATTGAAAGCGTACCAAATACATCTTGTACAAGAACTGAAGCCGCTCGACCTTCTCAGCGATATCGATTCTCTCTATGGGATCTTGAAAAGTTCCAAGAAGATCCGACGTTTTCGAGCCAAATTTTGTTCAGCGATGAGGCCCATTTCTGTCTCAATGGGTATATAAACAAGCAAAATTTGGGACCAAGAACAAGCTGAAGAGATTCAAGAGCTGCCATTTCATCCAGAAAAAGCAACGGTTTGGTTTAGTTTGTAGGCCACTGGAATCAACGCCCTAAATTTATTCAAAAGTGATGCGGGGAGAACGTAACCATCAATGGCGACCGTTATCGCGCCATGATAACCGATCAATGGATTTATTGAGAGAACACTTCGGTGAGCAGATAATTTCACGTTTTGGGCCGGTCGATTGGCTACCAAGATCGTGTGATATCACACCGATCGACTTTTTCCAGTAGGGTTTTGTAAAGTTTCAAGTCTATGGTTCTAAATCTTTCGAATGATAATAAGTTTTCCGTTTTTTATACTCTCGCAATATGTTGCTACACAGTATAATAGTTTTGTTCACCTAACGGTGGTTTGTAGCACCTAAAACTAATCATCTTAGATATAGGGTTATATATATATAAATGATCGTCTGTGCAAGCTGTAACTTGAGTAAAAATTGATATATCTTTATGAAGCTTGGTACACATGTTTCATAACTAAGCTCCATAATAAGATACAAGACTGGTTTTTGGTATACAGAAACACATTTGGGAGGGGCATCGGCAGATGAAATTTTTTTAAAAAGTGGGCCCCTAACATGTAATATGCATATCTTTAAAACCGCTAAAGCTACAATATAATAACAAAATTCACAGAGAAAAAAAATTTTTAACACCTCTTTTACCCCGCCCACTCACCATATAACGGTACTACTAAAAACTACTAAAAGCACGATAAATCAAGCAATAAACATGCCAGATACATCCCTGATATGGTATGAGATGACTTTATAGGAACCGCGTACCAAATTAGACAGTGGGCTGGACACCGCCGACTTTTAGGTGAAAACCATATCTTGAGATATGCTTAACCGGTTTGAACCAAATTCAGTACAAAAAATTTTTCTCCCATGATGTAGATATATAATATAATTGAAATTCATATATTAAAATAAATAAATGAAACTCTCGATTATAGTATGTCTTTGTGTCTAAAATGGGTTGAATCCGATCAATACTTCCCGGGCTTTGATCCTTGCAAGTTGCGAGATCACCCTCAAAATGGATCACCCTATAATATAAAAATGCTTGCTCATCTATTAATCAATATAATTTATTTTATTTACCCAAAACCATTTATTTATAATCATTCACAACTGCTAAAAATATAGACAGACGATATTAATCAATATTATTGTTATTCAGACATGCAAAGTTCACACACACATGAAGGAAAATTCTCAGCTGCTTCCTTGTTGATATTATTAATAGTATTTTGTTGAGTTCCGTAAAAAACAAAAAACTCCGATCATAGAAATAGATGTAAAGGTCTCAAATGGGACCTTTCATTTTATGAATCCAAACAATTTATGACTTGTACTCTGCAGACGCATTAAAAGTTTCTTTCCGTCGAGGTATTCCAAAATAGACACTCACGACATCTCATCATAGCAAAGCTGTGGCTAAGGTCAAAGAATTCCATTTTGATATGGACAATCGCAAGATCATTTAAAGACCATGTCGTTAATTTCTAGCTAAAAATCTGTGGCGCGTGACCACGAACCATTTTGACCGAAATATTTCTTTCAGCAGGCTTTTTCCACGAAACAAGTAAAAACGATTTTTGACAGATATGATAATCCGATCTTTTCATAAGCCTATTCTTTATTTACAATATTTTGTAATGACTTATATCATTTCAAGAAAATGAAATGCTGACTTTTTGGGGAGATCGGAGCCATTTTTAAAATCGCAAACTATACATATATATATGGTAGAAACTGACCGATCGTTTGACTTATATAATATACGTAGCGACTCAATCCGTATAAATAACCCTAGTGGTCAATTTAGTTCATCAATTTATGACAAAGCTCAGATCCGGTGGAACACTGCTACAAAGATTATCGGAATAGTTATTGAAATTTACATTCTATAAGTCAAACGAACAGTGTTAGATTAGTACTTAAGTTAAATGTTTCTGTATTTTTTAGACTATAACCTGTGGTTTCGTTTCTGTACTACCATTGACCCAAAGTCTTTAGTAAACCTGATTTTTTTTTCATCGGAACAACCCTCATAGAAATAGCTGAGTCTACTATATGGGCTAAAAATGTTAAAATGAATTTTGTTTCGAATGAAAATATGGCTTTATTCTTCGACGTAATTCCCATATTGATTACTACAAAAGTTGGTATATGTATGTCCAATATTTCGATTCTGGTTCGATAGTGTTAAGTTGCAATGCCTTCAAAATTGTTCTTTACTATGAACTCCTTATGATTACGCAACCTGGATTATACCTAGTATATTGCAAGTACAACCACTAGGATACAAAAAGTTTTTATCGAAGCTCCCATTACTCTCACACAAAACAAGAATTCTTCCTTTTGTCTATTTAGAGATAAAATCTAACAGGACTAGTGGTGCAAGGAATTAAATAATAGAATAGTTGAAATTAAATATATTTTTTTATCTACCATATAATAGCGCTGTATTATCCAATTTAAAATACTTTGGATACTTCATAGCCAAAGAGGATATACCCATATTTTTAATATGATTTACACTTTACTTTATAACATTTTCTTATAAGGTATATTTTGAACCCTGAACTTAAACTCATTGAAAATAACGAACTTAGACAACGCGAAAGGACATAATTTCCGGGCAAACTAGATGCTGTCGTTCAGAAGTTGTTATTTTCCAAAACGTTCTAGGAAATGACCATGACAGATACTCAAGGTAAAAATAGAAATAAACCTCAAAGTATTCTAGTCAACATGGTCTGTTTTAGAAATGTTTCAACGGCTTAAACTTATTTACACAAAGAAAAACAAAAATTTCTTAATGCTCAATCAAATAAATTCATTTTAATATCTTAGCATAAAGTCTCTGTGAGTAAAGTTTTGTGTCTAAAAAAAATTAATGGCTAATAGATAACTTAATTATTTGTTCGCGAATGGCATTTCCTTCATATTTCTGCAACTCCAACCACATCACAGTACACACCAGCTCTTAGCAAGCGTTATTACCCGCGATGGTATTGACAATCCAATCATGATAGTAGAAAACACTGGCAAACGTATCCGGATAACCGATAGCGCATGGTTGACCACCGTTGACAAGTCCAATTTGCACGTTATTGGCATCGACCAATGGGCCGCCAGAATCATAGCTGCAAGAGCCTTTACCATCCTTAGTCGAAGTACAAATATGACCCTTGCCAATGAATTTTTTATTTTTGACCGTTTTCAAGCAAGTTTTATAATCCAGATACTTCAAACTCACTTTATTCAGTTTTTTAACAGCATTACCCCAAGCTTTAGCGCTGCCCCAACCGCTAAGCACAACACTATCACCGTTTTTCATGGTATTACTCGTAGCCAATTCTACGGCTGCAGTGTAGCTGTCGAAGACAATAGGTTTGCTCAGACGCACCAAGGCAATATCATTGTGATACATTGGTTTATTGAACTGACAATGTATTTTCACGTCTTCCACAAAGTACTCGTCGCCAGGCTTATTCCATTCCACTGTGCCAGTGACGATCTTCAGGTACTTCTTAGGCCAATCCAAGCAATGCCCAGCTGTTAAGATCCATTCCGGTGCGACAATGGAACCACCGCACACATGATCGCCGAAGGTGTTTTGTATGGACACTTGATAGGGTATTGCACCTAACGTCACTTCGTCACCGCCTACAATGCGACCTTCAATGGGCACATTGCTTGGTGCCGCATTGATGCCCCGCGCTTCACAATTTGTCCAGAGCGTTAAAACGCTGAAAAGTATTACCGCTAATTTAAACATTTTGTATCACTGCGCTCTCACGTATGTTTACTTTACGGTAACTCAATTTAGTTTGATTTGAAACAGTGGGATACTTTCACTTTTATAGCTAACATAAGGACTAAATTCGCTACGGCTGATAAGGAATGTACCACTATATACGCGTTACTGATAATTTCTTGCGGAAGCATTCGAACGAAACGGAACGTTGCTAAGTAGTCTGGTCTTCGTCTCTGCAGTTGCTGATAGTGTAGACTCCGTTTGTTGTTGATTAGTCCCAACGTTTTTTTTAATCGCTACCACTGCTGATATGATCGTTATTATTTGAGAATGAAAAAATAAATAATATACAGCTTTGATTAGTCATAACATCCATAAATTATGCAATGACTAGAGGGTTTATACTTAGAAAACCACCTTCTTAGAAAATAATTATGTATGTATGAAATTGGTCTAGGTTGTACATGTAACTATTTGCTTTGGACTTTATAACTTGTGAATGAGTGGAAAGTAGCCGCAATCATTTATTGCCTTATATCACTCAAACATTTATTTCAAGTACCGTTTAGTTTAATTTCAAATTAGCACGCGTTGAATATAAGTATTTAAATATATGGTTATGATAAGTAAATTTTAGGACGTCTGGAATACAGAGCGAATAGGTAAAGCAGAATATCTTGTTGGACTTTTAGACGTATAGACGTTAGCTATGGAAACAACACACCTACGCGAAATCGATTTCGTCAAATTTTAGAATCTCAGAAATTTCTCCTTTAGCATTGCCCAATTACTTAACAACAAAACGAAAAGAAGCTGAAAGAAAGAATGAATGAAAGTAAGAGAGAGAGCGAAATAAAGCTTAAAAATATTTCTGAGTCACCGCCAAGAAATACTACACCGGAGTACACCAAATACTCACACGAATGAATTAATAGTCTGCTTCCGAGTTTTACTTCGTTAAATATGGAGATAATATCATTGAGAAGTGCTACAAGTATATGTCAAAATCCTATTACTATTTTAAAAACATTTCCCTCTTGAATATAGTATTTCTAGTGCAGTTTAATCTGATATCTATATCAACGCCTTTCAAAAGGAGATTAATTTTTTGAAGCTTTGTTCGGAAGCGTCTCATTTGCATACTTACTCCAGTGCATCACTTTTTGTCGGAACTGATTCCATACTGCGTTTGTGAGGTATTCGTTTTTTCGACTTTTATAAAACTTTCTGCAACGACAGTTGAAAGTCAAATTGCGGAAGGTAAGACCCTTGGTAACATCAACCTAAGAATGATGAAGTAGAAAATATTATTGATTGAAAAAAGATCTTTTATAAGGATCTTTATCTTGAAATATTTACATATATCCACCCACGTTCTATCTCCCTTTTTAAATTCCACATTAACTATACGTTTTATTTAGACGTCAAATTCTTGCAAAGTTTTGGCTTACCTTATCAGTTAGTCTGTAACTTTTTTTTTTAGCACCAGACGGGCAACGGTCACGTACTTATAGATAAATTTCCATAATATACCAACAGTATTGCCCATTTAAATGTACTTTGAAAGCTGCATCGCTCAGTTATCGTTTAATCAATTAACATATTCTTTGTTGGATTATATTACTTAAATCCTTTCGTTTTTCTATTGATTTTCATCTGTTCCTTTTTATTAACTACCCTTAAATAGTTAAAGTTAAACTTTGCGGCGAGATAAACGTTTTTATGCAATATATTTTCGAAAGATTCCAATATAGCGGAGAAGACTGTATATTTATAAAGCCAGAAAAAGTACAAAGTTTATGGAATAGACCTCTAAACATATACGAGTCACATTCTGAACGTATCATATATGTATAGGTGTACATATATATTTATATACAGATTCCTTGAAAGAAAACTACAAACCAGGTAGTTCAGGTTTTATTTATAGTTAATCCACAAACAATTGTAGATTTTAGAGTATCACTTTTAACAATTTATGAATAATGTTTTCTTAAGTTTGTTGACAGCCATTTATGGTTGAGCGTATCCAGTCAGCATGATATGACATTTTAGCAAATACATCGGGAAAACCGCGACCACATGGTACACCCCAATTGCCGATACCGACGAGTTGACCTTTCTCATTGACCAACGGACCGCCAGTATCGCCATGACATGCGCCTTTGCCGACTGGCGAAGTGGTACACAAATGTCCCATATCCACATCCTCTGAATACCCATAAGCACTGCGACACTTCTCATTGGACAAATACTGCACGCTCAACTGTTGCAATGCATTAGGATAATCTCCTCCTTCCACCGCGCTACCCCAACCGGTCATCGTAAGTGTTTCACCCTCCACCAACTCGTCCTCATCAGCGACTGTGATGTTCTTTGTCTGGTCATCATAAGCGATAAGTGTGGCTAGCTCTAAGAGCGCGATATCATTGTGATATAAGGGCTTATCGAAATTACAGTGCACATATATCGCCGATACATCGTATTTCCATGCCAAGCCCATCCAATCATTGGTGCTGGTCACCACTTGGATCCAACTCTTTTGTAGTCCACTGACACAACTTGCCGCAGTCACCACAAATCGATCGTGTATGATCGCGCCACCGCAAAAGTGATTGCCGTAGATGTTTTGTATTGTAACCTGCCAGGGAGCTGACGCTTCTATAGCTTCTTGTCCTCCAACAATGCGTCCAGTCGCGCCTGCATTACGACTGGTCTGGGTGGGTCGTGTGTTACGGTAGCGTAATCCTTCGTAAGGTTCACCGTGCATACGTAGCGCTGAGCTGCAAGTAAAGGCTACGGCCAAACTGGTAAGTAATATGTTGAATTTAGCAAAATACCACATTTTGTTGCAAGTTATTTGTTGGATATCCAAATAACATCTGGCATAAGTTTGGATAGTACTTAAAATTATATATTGGCGATAATACCAAAGTCATATATCTCGTATTTCCTATCTTAAACGGTATTTTAATGGTTTTTTTTTTTGCTCAGCGATAATATCGATTTTATCTGGTCATTATTTCTCAGATAAGAGATAATGACCCGATAAGATCAATGTCTATGAAAAATTATAAAAACTAATACTAATAATGCTAAAAAGATTTTCCTGAGCAAGTTTGCTTTAGTTTAAGTGGTTTGGGAGATAATTATATAAAACCTATAATGGGGCGGGACCACACCCACTTCTTAAAGATTTTCAAATCACAAGTGTCCTTTACCTCTGCAATACCTTTTCTTGGGCACCAAGAATTATATGTACCAAGTTTCATCAATATAACTCAATTTTTGTACGGATGGACGAAAAGACAGTCACTCGAATTTCAATTGGTTTCGGCATACTGATCATTTATATAGGTAGACATAACCCTATATCTATCTCGATTAGTTTTAGGTGATACAAACAACTATTAGGTGATCGCTAAATTCATCTAGCTTATCTTATTCTGCCTATAAATACAGGCAGCGGTTTATAATTGAGGCTATTGGCGCAGAAGAGTCTTATAAACCCAGACTACTACATTAGGAGATAAAAAGTAATAACAATTTAGGCTAATATAAAGTATGATGAACTGGTGGTGTGAACTGTAATAGTTCAAGAAGGTAACTTTTCTTTTTTCAGGAATGGTTGGTTTTTTCAATGCTGCTAGCTGTTGTATAATGGCTTCTAACTGTTTTTTTTTTCATGCTGACTATTTCAAAGAAGTCTTCTTCATTATTAGAATATTTGTAAAAAATGGAAAATGGATGAACTTTATTGAATTTTAACCACTGACTTTTTCCACTTTGGTCTTACTCACTGAAAATTTTCGCTTGGTTCTATTTTTTTATTATAGATTTGGAAAAGAAAACATCACTTGCAGTCAGTCGTATTACTTTAAATAGTTGTCTTTAATTACATCGACCCAGATTTTTTTATCTTTTGCTATTAAGCCAAAATCTTGATCACAGGGTAGGTATGAATATCCGCTGACTAAAAATTTATGATATATTTCTTCAATAGTAAAGTCTGAATCAGATAACACATACTGACAGATCAATGACAATTTTATGTTTCTGTTTTGCCCACCACATTGGTAAGGGTACATGATAACTTTTGTAGTAGTTACAAAAATCAAAACAAGAATATATCAAGCAATATGCTACTTCTTGGGGTACTCGTCAAGTTTCGGGCAATTCTACAAGTCGGGCCATTTTTCGTATTTAAACGACTGCGTTTTGGGTACAACCTGCCCGATCAACGCAACTATAAATCAATATTCATTATTAAGCAAACATAGTATATGTATATACATGCATATGTATATCATTTTATTCGCCCAACTAGTTCTGATAGCATAAGTTGGACTAGGAAAAGTATTAGCTTTATGCCGAAGTTAAAAATATTAGCAAACTTTAAATTGGCCGTTCTACATACATATTTATGGTTTTAGTAATATATCTACTCATTAGCAAAATGTCATAAAATATTCACAACTTTTCTAAAAACCGCCATGACCAAGTGCTTAATTCTTTTCAGTTCATTTTAATACTACTTAACTAATAAAATGACGCGATAGACCCTTTTAAATTTTTTTATACCCTGAACAGGGTATATTAAGTTTGACTCGAAGTTTGTAACACGCAGAAGGAAACGTCGGAGACCATATAAAATATATACATAAATGATCAGCATGATGAGCTGAGGTGATTCAGTCATGTCCGTCTGTCTGTATATATACAAACTAGTCCCTCAGTTTTTAAGCTATCGATAAGAAGCTGCTCATTTGTCGGAACGGCCGATATCGGACCACTATAGCATATAGCTACCATATAAACTGAACAATCGTAATCAAGTACTTGTATGGAAAGCATTTTCATTTGACGTGATATCTTCACGACATTAGGCACGAGTTATTGTTTAAGGCAACAATGTATTCTCCGCAGAAATTGTTCAGATCAGATCACTATAGCATATAGCTGCCGTACAAATTGAATTGATAAAAGGTTGGCTTATAACCTTCGGCTTATCAGCGATACCAAATGTTACTATAACCGTCTCACTTCTGCAGAGCCAAACCATATCTCGGACACTTTTGGACATTTTATGAGACGCGAAATTGCCAAAAAAAAAAACAAACAAAAAAAGTGGTATATACCCACTTATACGATAGACTTATTATCCTTACTTTATTTGCTGCAAATTATGGGTGCAATAAAACTAGTTACTTTAAAGTGAGACCGCCTAGGCCAGTTTATTGTTGGTCATTCTGATATAACTGGTAGGTACCCAATAAATAAACATTTGACCATAAATATATGTAGGTGCATGTGTATCAACTCGTAAACGATAAATTTTTTATTTTGAAAATAATGCGCCCCGGCGAACCTGGTCACACTACGAACATTTACAATAAATTTATAAAACGAAATTAGTAAACTCACAAGTTTAATTGAAGGTCGCATTGTAACCGCCCCTGAGATTAACATGTTTATGGGGGTGCCGTCTAATCAGAGCGTTGAATACTTACAGCTGGCCATTGCGTGGAAGATTTTCCACTACAATCATTACTTATTGTTGTTGGCACGAATATTGATTGATATTGATATGGTGCGTCTCAACGGCAGCATAGAATTTAATAACATCACACAACCGATTGAGTTACATACGCAATCATTTAATGCTGGCGATTTGTTTACAATGACTGGCTAATGTAGTCCCTTGTTGAATACGCCAAATATGGAGTTGCTGTAAACACAAAACTTAACCGTTATCTCTCGAGCGGAATGCTCAGAGCGTTGTCAGAATCATGAGGGTGTTGCTTATGGACACATTTACATTATCAGCCGTCAGGGAGAGGGCGCTTGCAATTGCGCCTCAGGTGGTTCGGTAGTGAATAATTGGGGCGCAACCTGTGCGATTGTTGTGACGAGATGTGACTGTGATATTTTAATTTTTAGAAATGATGTTTCAATTTCAATAAATACATTTTATAGTTGTTGATGTGTTCAAAATTATATTAATTTTGCCACGATGTTTATAACAACCAGAAGGAAACGTTAGAGACTCTTCTAAGTATACATATGTATGTATAAATAATCAGCGTAACGAGCTGAGCCGATCTAGCCATGTACGTTTGTCTGCCCGTCTGTCCGTCCGTCAGTTTTTGAGATATCAATCTGAAACTTTGCAACGATTATTTTCTCACAAAGAAAATGCTTTTGTCGGAACGACTGATATCGGATATTGAACATGTTATTCTCATTCTCTTATTTAACTTTATGATATACATATGTATACCATAGTATCATCTGACACTAAAATCCCTGTCAAGGGCAATCCAACCAACTGCATGCTTTCTGTGACTAGAGTTGGATCAGCCAGACGTTTGAACGTGGGGTAGACATTTGATATGTGGTCATCAGGCGATATAATGGGCTTTAACTAGGGACACTTATATATTACAGAAAAACGTTCAATGCTGCCTCTGAAAGGTGTAGTGGGGAGGTTGTCGCCTTTATTTAATATTTTGAACTTGAGTTATGAAAAAAAAATGTCGAGGGCACAACTCTTGCCCATAGTTCTTCTTTACTAAAGAAGTGACATAACTCGATAAATTTTTACGTAAGCATTTAGCAATAACACTACATGTAGGTTTTAGCTTAAATAGCATAACAAAACAGTATTCTTTGATTTCTTGTTGCCAAATCAGTTAATTTACATTTTATTCTGAAGAAGTTGCCCGAAATAGAAGCTTTTAACTGCGTTAATTTTTACATTTTTATACTTTTTGAGTTAGGACACTCTTCTGGTGAGTAAAAATTAAATTTGGAAGCGGTAAATACTTATGTATATATTAGATACTTATATATTTATACTATCCAACGAGCAGACTCCTCAACCTCATCACGCATAAAGCATTCAGTCATCATTACTGGTGACTAAACGTGGGTTTTTGATAATGACGTTAAATCTATCCCACAATCTAACAAATGGCGCTCCAAATCGAGTCTAAACCGAAAAACCCCCGTAAAAGTCTGTAAAAAGCACAAGTTGATGCTTACCCCGTTCTTTGATTACCGCAATCTGGCTCAACATGAATTCGTTCCAAAGCCAACCGATCAATAAGGAATACTATTTGCCCGTTTTAAGGCGTCTACGAAAAGCAATTCGTCGTAAAGTGGACTGGATTGCATGGATTTTTCACCACGACAATGCGCCTTTCCATTCTAGAGTGATTGTAACGTAACGAGAGTCATCGCTCAACTATCGTATTCGTCAAATTTGGTTCCCTGTGATTTTTTCTGTTTTCGAAATTGCAAAACTCTACCTGGTGGTCGTTTGCGGAATTTCGGGATGTAGATGTTAAACAGGATAGCACCAATATGAAGAAAGCAGAAATCTATGATAAAGAATATTTATGAATTATGACGATAGTCCTGTTTATTCTTCGCTACTTTTTGGTCGCCACCAAAAATATCGGCTACAAGTCCACTCAAGTCCCTAACATAGACATTGATTTTTGTATAAAGAAAAGAAAAACCTCTTCAGAACGAACCTCGTAAATTTTACTGTTAGGAATTGCTTTTAAACATACATTTATCGAGAGTTGTAAAATTATTTTTTATTAGTTCTTTGATAGATAAATTCACTACCAATGGATGTATATATGTATGTAATCGTGTGATTTGGTTTAAAGTGGTTAAATTTTATCTAAATTTGGATATACTTAGTTCAACGGTCATAAATGAGCGGACCAAATGGGACAAATCGGTGTAAGCACCAGCTGGTTTTGCCACTCAGTCATTTCGCACAGCTCTAGCTATTTAAACGCATATCAGATTCAGTGGGTGAAAGTCAAAAATAACGCCAAAATGCATTTCCGGCCAATAATTTCGATATTACTCCTCTTTATTATCACTACAACGACGGCTAAGCGCTTGATCAAGCCCAGTCAGCGTCTCTTAGCACGCCAGAGTGAAAGTGGCAGTGTTCAGCAGGAAGGGCGTATCGTTGGCGGCACAAATGCCGACCCAGGGTTCGCTTCATATCAAGTATCCATACAAGGCCAATATAACGGTCATTGGTGTGGTGGCACCATCATCGACAAACGGTGGATACTAACAGCGGCACATTGCATTGATGGCTACAATCCGCCTTATCTGCGCATCATAACGGGTACTGTGGAGTGGGATCAACCGCACGCTATCTATCACTCGGACGAGTTTTATACGCATTGTAATTACGATAAACCGGATTATGCCAATGATATTGGACTCATACATTTGAATGACTCCATTGTATTCGATCAATATACACAAGCGGTGCCATTGGCGTCGAAAGCGTTAGAGGATAATGCTGAGGCTATACTCACCGGTTGGGGCGATATGGGCTACGGTGGTCCGTCAACGAAAATATTGCAGAAAATTACATTACGTCACATGAGTCACAAGCGCTGTGCCGAAGTGTATAAGGATGAGGAGATACTGGATGTGGGTCACATTTGTACATACACCAAAGAAGGTGAGGGTGCCTGTCAAGGCGACTCTGGTGGTCCTTTGATTAGCGGCGGTGAACTAGTCGGCATCGTTAACTGGGGTCAGCCTTGTGCTGTGGGTTATCCAGATGCATATGCAAGTGTTTACTTCCATCGTGATTGGATACGTCGTGTCATGTCGGGCACATGCAAGACATGCCACTGTGAAGCAAGCAATTATCCTTCATTTGGGAGTAAAAAATAAATACGTTAAAAGGTTTGAATAAAATATACTCACAAAGTATAGTAAGTTATAGTAAAGGTTTTGAACATTGTTGTTTTAATCTTTTTTCTTAATTATGGGATCACCAACAATTTGAAAAATCTCAGAATCTACATTAAATAAACTTGAAAAATGGATACCAAAATTTATTAAATCACTACTTCGTTAGAGTCACATATTTCAAAAACCGTCTCTTGACAAGTCTACTAAAGCATTGTCATTATCTACGGACTGAAACATTCGCTTTAAAATATAAGGTTTACATATATAATTTTTAGTCGAAACACCTGAAAGTGTTACAGTATCAAGCAGATATCAGTAACTTTCACAGAAAGCAAACTCTTGATATATTCCAAGGAAATATTTGAACTATTTGGTATTTGAAACGAGGAATATTATAATCGATAGATTTAAATTAGGAAACCAAGCGAAATGAGAAATAAATCGACTCAGTGTTATTTGGTGTCAAGTCATTGGTGTATTTTAGGCGCAGTGCTCATATAAAGGATGTATAAAGTGATTTACAAACGCAGACGTATTGTTGTTAAAATCAAAAAGTCTCACACCTGGAATCAACGACGTCCGCGCATCGAAGACCGCATAACCCATAAAAAATTGTATATCCGCTTGTGCAAATTTTTTATTTTGTTACGGATTTGATTTTAAAGAATTTCTTAGATGTTCATTGACCCATAGAATTTCGAAAACGGAGACCTAAGTGTGTTAGAAAGTTAGTATCTAGTAGTATCTAGTAGGGGTAAGCATCTTAAAGCAGAAAACCTGACAAAGAGCTTTTTAGGACAAAGAGTAATGTTGTAAATCAATATCAGCCGCAGACAGTTCAACTTCAAAGCTTATATCATTTATTCGCAAATGCAGATCCTAGGGGAAACTGTATCTTTAAAGATGGAAAATATTTGTCCGTCAACCTCAAGACACGCACAGCAGTTATCAAAAAGAACTTGACTAATATAAATATTTAGAGAATAAATTGACATTATCCCTCCAAATTAGAACAATGTGGATGGATAATATTTGCCTGCATATATTCTAAAGGTTGTGAGATAAGTTAGGTGCTCACTTATAAATAAGCTTAAAGCTTCTTCAAACAAAAACTTTTAATTTTTTAATAATTTTAAATTTTTTTGTAAACTGATTTTCAAACATATCTTAAATACTCTTTTTGAAATATTTAATTTAACTAAAACATTTCGCAGTGCCCTTCATTATGCGACGGATCCAATCCATATAAAAATAGGTACTCGCGTTCGCATCTGGATAGCCAACAGCGCAGGGCATACCCCAGTTAACTAAACCGACCAATATTCCATCGTTCGCCAAAGGGCCACCCGAATCGCCATGGCACGCACCTTCGCCATACTTCGTATATGTGCACATGTGTCCCACATCCAAATCTGGATCATTATTGTGCATTACTTTACAATTTTTATGTGGTAAATATTTTAAGGACACAATCTGCAGATTATCGGGTGTATCACCGTACAATTCAGTTGAACCCCAACCTGTCATTATGACCTCATCGCCTTCCTTCATCTGCTCCGTCGGCAATGCTATGGGTTGGGTTCTATCGTTGAACACAATAGACGAGTTCAAACGTATCAATGCGATATCATTGTGACTTCTCGGCTTGTTGTAGCGACAGTGTATATGTATGGAGCTGGCATAATAAGTAGCATTCGGATTCTGCCATTCGATGGTGCCTGCGACGATGATTATATTACTGGCATATCTACTCTCAAGACAATGTCCGGCAGTTGCGATCCAATTCTTGTCGATTATGGCTCCGCCACAGAAATGAGAACCATCCGATGTTTGTAAGGACACTTGATAGGGCGCCTGACCCAAAGTGGCTTTAGTTCCTCCAACTATTCGTCCTTCAATCGCATCTTCTACGTAATTTTTTGGATACTTGACAAGTTTGGCTTCGGTGTGGGCTAACAAAAGTACGGCGAGTAAAAGAAATACCTTCATGGTGTATAGCTATAACGTATATAATGAAAATTTAGCGACATTGGAATCATTTAACTGCTCATTAGGAAACTTTCGATAAGGGTGATAATACGTAAAATAAAAACTTATCTTTAGATATCACAAACAAAATTTTATCGTTCTACTCATTATTTGGATAATAAAATTTGTGGACTTTAATGTGCATTTATCTCTGCAGAAGGCAAAACAAAAGCATACAAAAATTGCGTAGGCACTGAGTCAGCTGAAATTTTGATATCCATATTTCCTATAAAGAAAAATATATCTACTTAGATTACAGGGAGAAAAGCGTGAATTGGTTTGGAACTTATATTTTTCAGACCTGAGCTTCTTTTCAGTTAACAAAGAATTCACCGAAATAAAAAACAAAATAACGAAAACCATTGTTTTCTTTCCATCATCTTTTGAACCATGACCCCATAGCTTACGATAACTACGCTAGTGAACGTTCCATGGCCGTATTTTTAGCTCTTTTGAGCAACTTCGGAACTATAGGGAAGCGAGGGTGACAATTGATATTATATAGGTACTATATAGATCTTTATACTGGGGCTTGGCTTGTCAAGACCCGAGCTTATTTTTCTGCAGTGTTTTACTAAAGTTCAAAAGAATCGAATCAAAAACCGAACAGTCAGTTGACCAAAACTTTTGTAGAAAAAATATGAAAGATCCAATGAAATTCTAAAAAAATCCTAAATCTGATTGATGAATTTTCTCAAATTAATAAAACCAAGTCTACTTTCCATATAACAAAATTTTTAATTCTATAAGTTAACGGAAGAAAACTTCATACAAATAGCGCCCTCAAGGTATGACATCTAAAGTCTCAAATTGGTCGAAATTTAACCATAACTGACCAAGCCCCCAAAGACCGAATATGTAGACCTGAGTACCCATATATCTTATATAAATATTTTCAAACGGTTGAATTCTTACCGCATATATCGGTCAATATGTAAGATATTATAATGAAATTCAGAGAGAAATTCTTCCTAATATTAGTGTATCCTTGTGTCTAAAATGGATCAATCCAATTGGGTGAATACGCCCCATAGCGCCCATATACCAAATATAAGGATATTTAAATATCCGGTTGACTTCATACCATGCATGTAGATTGGGCAATCTGTAAGTTAGCTTCTAATCGAATGATATGAAGTAATGCTAAAATTGAATAAAATCGGGTAATACTAACCATAGCCCCCATATACATTACAACATAGGGATTTTAAACTTTACTTTGGCTTTATACCTATATGGATAAGTTACCTTAGAAACATTAAGTAAAATTAAAACATTGGAGATAGAATAGATTAATATCAAATTACTCCAGCTCCCGTATACTGTATCTATAGTTATAAAGATTTTTGATATTTTAGCAGACTCTGTACCGAATATATCAGTCAATGTGTGAGTTGTCTTCCTAAAATAAAAACGAGTTCACGAATATATTTAAGTTACGTCAAAAGTTAATGCAATTAGTCTAGATTTTCCCCTATCCCCAATATATGCGATGTGGTGGTTTCTATCTATTTTGACTTTCCATCTGACTTTAAAGAATATATGTCGATCAATAATAATAAGACTGAAGTTGATCTTGACCTTGGTTTAAACCTGATATATATACGAGTATATACCTAATATGCTGATTTCCTACACTGATGCTTTCCCAATATTATATTTAACCACTCTGGTTGAGTTTATATCACATACATATATCTCATTCGAGTTGAGGGTTATATCCGAGCGACTGTCGGTCTGTCCGTCAGTCTGTCTGTGCATTCGATAACTTGAGTACAAATTAAGTACACATATTCCTTGCCAAAAAAGTGGGGAGGAGTTCGTAGATGGGCGCAATCCGACTACTGCCACGCCCACAAAACTCCATTTATCAAAAACCCACAATAGGTTAAATCACATATATCCGGAAATACTTAGGAATTTTGAGTTATGCCAATTCGAGTCTTAAAATTATCTAAATCAAACCATAAATGTTCATGACGTGGGTGCTTACCGAATATGTGGACCTTAGTGCGTGTGGTGACTTTTTGCCGAAAATATCGGTCCATCTGTAAGTTATGTTATTGAAATTCGGGGAAAATGTTTTTTTGTCAAAAATGGGTTGAATCGGATCAACAATTCCCTTAGCACGCATATACCTAAAACAAAGATTTTCGAACTTCCTGTTGACTTTATACCACATATAATGTGGTACTGCCAATATGAGAGTTATTTTAATGAAATTTGCAGATTGTCATTTTCTAATAACGGTGTATCTTTGTGCGTAAAATGAATAAAATCGGGCGAAAACTTGCCTTAGCCTCTATATAACTGATATTCAGTTGAATCATCAGGATGACTTTACTATGTTTAAATTTACACATACATATTTTTATAAATTGCTTGAAAATAAATTCTCAAGTATACCTGAACAATGCCAAAAATTAATTCACTCAGCCGGTCCTTTTCTCTGCCTCAATATTTTCTATATAACAATTTCCGACTTTCCACCTGACTTCAAAGCGTTAAGGTTCATCAAAACGTGTGATATTTTAATGAAAAAAGGTTTTAAATAAATAATAGTTTAGCGCTCAATATAAATGAAATTGGTCTTGGTCTTAACCTCATATCAATAATAAAATCAACTTCGATCCTTTGGTTGACGTTTTGAACATCAACTCAATATATTAAATTAAGCCTCTTCGGTTGAGTTTATAGCACATATGTAGATCTCATCTGAGGATGATTTAAGTATATTTTTCGCTGACGGGAAGAAATATATAGTAACAAAACTAAGTCAATCTTTAAAATACGGTAATACGATACCAAATTTGATTGTAATCCTTCAGAATTATATCGCTACTTTTGTACCCTGAAGGTATTTAGCTCGATTTAATCCTTGCAAGTTTCAAGAGTATAAAATATTCGGTCTGTACTTAGCCGTTTTTTACTTGGTAATAATGTAGTTTAGCGCTGAATATGACTGTAGCTGGGGTAATTCGATATGAATCTAAGGAATATTCAATGTTCCGAAGGTAACATTTGAGTTAATTGGGTTGATTTTAATATACATTTTTCCAAAACGAAGTAAAATGTAGAAATTAAACTAAGTAAGTCTACAACTTATAATAAATTATGTTTATAGGATACAAAATTTGATTGCGAACTATTCGGATTCTTCGCATAACGAATGTTAAATAATTTTGCAGCATTTTTAATAATAAAGTTTTGCCAGCACCTGAAAGTATTTCCCCAGCTTAGATCCTTGCAAATTGCGAGAGTATAAAATGTTCGGTTACATCCGAACTTAGCCCTTCCTTACTTGGTTTGGAACACTTTTGATTGTCATTACAATCATATAATTTAATTTTTGGTACGCTATTCAATGAACCTTTGTTACTGAAATGGCACTCAATCGAATTTTTTCCCCCATATCAAATACGAGTATTAATAAGAATATACATTGTAACCAAAAGTTTCCGGAAATTGTCATTTAAACTGCCCGCGCTGAATATTTTTCAGCACTTCTTTGTAGGTTAAGTTGGTAGCACTGTCTTTAATTAGTATGCCAAAAATGAGCTCAATCTGTCAAACAGTTTGAAGCAGCTGTTGAAATCAGTCGACCTCAGTAGTGTTTTGCGATTTTTACAATAGAAAAAAATATTGAACAAAGAATTTGTATCAAGCTTTATGTTTCGAACCAAATTTCGTGTTCAGAATAGTTGCGAATGTTAGAGAAGGCTTATGGTGAATCTATTCTACAGAAAACCCACGTCTACGACTGGTACAAAGCCTTTAAGGCTGGTCGAGAAACCGTCGAAGAGATGCCTCGTTCCGGTCGTCCTTTCACGTCTACCACTGACGATAACATCAAAAAAGTGAAGGAAATCGTGCTCGAAAATCGTTATGCGAGTGTTAGAGAGATAGCACGTAAGCTAGACATCGGCCATGTAGCAGCTTGTTTGATTTTGAACAATAATTTTGACATGAGACGCGTCAATGCTCCGCTTGTTCCAAAAGAGCTGAATTTTTTGCGAAAAGACCGCACCGAGCTGTAGCTGTGAACGATTTTAAGACCAAAAACTCGTTCAGTACCATTGATCAACCACCGTATTTACCGTATTTGGCCCCATGCGACTTTTTTTTGTGTTTCCAAAACTCAAGTTACCACTCCGTGGAACCCGTTTCGACTCAATTGAGGCCGTAAAAGAAAATTCGCAGAGCGAACTGAATGCGATCCCGGACAGCGGCTACAAGGCATGTTTCGATGATTGGAAAAGGAGATGCCACCTCTGAATCGCTTCAGAAGTAGCATATTTTGAAAGCGACAAAATAAAAATTGATGAAAATTAAACATTTTTCGTTTAATTTACAATTTCCGGAAACTTTCTGGTCACAAGGTTATTACGAAAGGGAAAATATCAAAACGATAGACTAATTTACAATAACGGAAATTTTTCAATTTAGGCATACATTAAATTATTGTATTTAAAAGCTTTAGGTCTTCAAACCAATTAAATGGGAAGAAATACCAATATGAAAATAAATAATACCATAAATATTAACAAACTTTTACCAGTCGTCTAGGGGAAGAAGTACGGCCCGAAGTCGATATCAGGCACTTTGGTGATATAAATTCTAATAATATTTTACCATAAGAAGATAACGTTAATTGTGATAAATAAAACCCTCATAAAAATATAAATTCTTTCATTTTCGTTATAGCTCACAATTAAAATGAGTATTTACAGTGAGCAGGCAGCAGTCGCTACTTCTTATTTTACCGTCATTTACGATTTCCGCCAAAGGATGCATACGACGTCACCCTAGACTACTTTTGTGTGCTTCCAGCCCCTCACGGCGCCACTAATAGACCATCAAATCGTGTACGAATCGCCATGACTAGGAATTATGGCTCGCCCAACCACGTAGCCGCAATTCAAATGCATTTGTAGCTATTAAATACCGCTCACTAAGAAAATATCAACATTCACACAACCTCACAG